GAGCCTTTCTCTATGTGGTGAATGAGTTATATAGTCATGATATGTATCTAGGTGACCTCTGGCTGGCCCAGCAAAAGATGACCATGATTTCTCATCAAAAAATTGTGAGATTTGAAGAGAGTGGCATAGAGATAGAGTCTAGTTCAAATGCAAAAGCTGATGTAATTCTCATCTCTGCTATAAGCTTCTCTAGGCTTGTGAGCACTTGAGAGAAGTGAAACATCAAGATCTTCACTGTCAGTTTGACCAACATTCAAAAGACTCTAAAAATGAAATCAAAGATTGACCTCAGAGAAAAGCTGCCTGAACATTATCATGAGTTTTTGAATGTATTTGATAAGGAAGTCATCAATACTCTACCCTCACTTCATAACCCAGGTAGAGATCATGGGATTGAACTGATTAAAAAGACTAATAATAGCACAGAACAACCCTATTGAGGCTTACTATATAATATATCTTGAGAGAAACTACTGGCTTTGTGAAAGACTCTTACAGATTATTTAGATAAGAGTTTTATTAAAGTGAGCAACTCTCCCACAGTCACTCTTATACTATTTGCAAAGAAGTCTGAGAGTGGACTAAGATTCTGTGTGAACTATTGAGCTCTTAACAAAATTATCTGAAAGGATTGATATTCTCTATCATTAATCAGTGAGACTCTACAGTGAATTGAATAAGCTAAATGATTCACTAAGCTGGACATTATTGCAGCTTTTCACAAAATTCAAATCACAGAAGGTGATGAGTGAATGACAGCCTTTAGAACCAGATACAGGCTAATTGAGTGGCTGATTACACCTTTTGATTTGGCCAATGCTCTAAGCATATTTCAAAAATATATTAACTAGGTATTATATGAATATTTGAATGACTTCTACTCAGTCTATTTAGATGACATCTTGATATTTTCCTCAAGAAGCTTATGAGAGCATTGCAAGCATGTACAAAAGATGCTTATGTGTCTACAGGAAGCAGGTCTGCAGGCAGATATCAGAAAGAGTAAGTTTGAGATGAACAGCACAAAATATCTTGAATTCATCATTGAAGCAAGCAAGGGTATATGAATAGATTCAGAGAAGATTAAAGCTATTTTGGAATAAGCAACATCTACTACTCTTAAAAATATACAAAGATTTTTAAGCTTTGCCAATTTTTATAGACAATTCATTAGAGATTTCTCAAAGATCATGACTCAACTGACAATTTTTACACACAAGAATGTTCTTTTTTTGTAGATGAGCAAGACTGAAGAAGCTTTTAAGTATCTAAAATCAATATTTATCTCTGCTCTAATCCTGCTTCAATTTGACTCTGATTATAAGACTATATTGAAAACAGACTTTTCAGATTATGTCTCAGAAGAAGTGCTGTTACAATATGATAAGTAGAGTATTCTACACTTATATGCTTTCTTTTCTCACAAGCATTCACCTGCAGAATGCAACTATGAGATTCATGATAAGAAGTTATTAGCAATAATTGAGTATTTAAAGAAATGAGATGCTGAGCTACAAAGTGTAAAGGAATTTAAAATTCTCACAGATCATAAGAATCTAGAATACTTTATGACTACATGTAGACTAAATGAAAGACAGCTACATTGAATAGATATTCTCTATTGATTCAACTTCAGAATTGATTACTGATTAGAGAAGTTGAATGCTGAATCAGATGCTCTATCACAAAGAGAGCAGAACATGTCACAGAATGCTGATGATGAAAGAATCAAGCAGAGCTAAGGTCAACTACTTAAGTTTAATATACTGATATCTGAAATGGAATCAAGAATGGCTGCTGCCAGTGTAGAACCTGAGATGTCTCTTCAAGCTTAGTGAAATGAGACTCACAAAAATGACAAGATTCTGCAGCATCTGAAGCAGACTCTTTGTGAGAGAAGATTCAGATTTTCTTCTGAACTTAGTATTAAGATTTTTATCTCTAAGTACTTTTTAAATAAGAATGAGAAGCTTCTGTTTTGAGATTGTAAGTGAGTGTCAGACTTTGAACCTCTTCAAATCAGATTAGTGTACAAGACTCATGACTCATCTCTTACTGATTATTCTGGATGAGAGCAAACAGCAGAAGTTCTAAGACATGAGTTTTACTGATCAGACTATGCTGCTAATGTAAGAAGAATGATCAGAAACTGTTATCTTTGCAGATCAAATATCATATGAAGAGATTGATATCAGGGACTGCTTAAGCCTTTCCTCATTCCTGAACATATGTGATAGGAGCTTTTCATAAACTTTATTGTAAACTTATCAAGCTCTAAAGAATATACAAACATCATGATTATAACAGACAGACTGATCAAGAGAGTTATATTAAAAGCAGTTAAGAAAACTGATGCAGAGACAATGACTAGAGTGTTTCTTCACAACATCATCTCTCAACATAGCATTTCTAAGGCAGTAGTGTCAGATCAAGGGTCAGCTTTCACAAGCATATTTTGAACTCAGATATGTGAAAAATTAGACATTAAAAAATGACTCTTCATAGCTTATCACTCAGAGACTGACAGAGCTACAGAGTGAATGAATCAGATTCTAAAAATATACCTACACAAATATGTTAGCTTTCAACAGAATGACTGATGTGAATGACTCTCTCTGACAAAAGCTGATCATTAATAATAGAGATACTGTCTCAACAGACATGAGCTTATTCTTTTTAATACATCTTTTTCACATCTTCTCTATTAATATAGCTGATGTACTCTCTGTTGAAACACCACATAATTTCATTGAGTTTGCAGATAATTATATGAGAAAGGCCTGTGAAGTGTTGAAGTGAGCTCAAGTAAAAATGACAGATGCTCAGTAATCTTAACAGAACTACATGAATAGATGAAAAGACTCAGCTTCAAGCTTTCAATCTGAAGATAAGATCTGATTGAATTTAGAGAACATGAGAACTAATCATCTGTGCAAGAAGCTGAACATGAAATATAATCAATATACTGTGCTAGAAAAGATAGAATTTCATACTTATCAACTGAATGTTTCATCTGACATTCATAATGTCTTTAATGTAAAGCTTCTACATGTGATGATAACAGATCTTTTGCATAGTCAGAGGCAAACTGACTGGTAGTCACTCACTATAGAGACTTCAGAAGAACCTAAGTTTAAGATTGAGAAAATTTGAGATGAACAAATCTACCAGAGGAAAAAGCAATACCTTGTTAAATAAGTAGATTAGACTGAGTCTACATGAAATGACATGAGTCTCCTACAAGAAGTGAAGACTTTGAATACTTGAGAGGCCTCTCAGCAGGAAAATTAGATGTAAAGAGAGCTTTAAATAGTCATAAAGACCCACAACAAAGAGGGAGAAGGAGGGTATTATAAGGGGCTGAACCCCTAGATTCACTCTGGCTGGCTGACTCAGCCTAGTCATCATTTGCATGTGCGCACATGATCATGCTACATGTGTACATGTGATCATGCTATGTGAGCTTGCTTAAGCTTGTGTTCTTATCTCATTCTTTTCTTCTCTTTCTCAAGCAATTCGTTCTTGTTATATAGTAGAACTAATCTTTAGTTCTTAGAGCTTAATCCTCTACAATATATATGAATGAGTAGTAATAGATTTTATCTTTAATTTTTTATGAAATGAGGAATTAGCAATGCAATGATCTAAATCTTTATGAAGTGCTGATTCTATTCTTCAGGAAGTGCTGGTGTTAAAGAACTGATTTTTGAAAAGTGCTGATCTGTACTAATTCTGAATGCTGAATTTTAAGATGATGCTGATCCTCTAGTAGATGTTGATTCTAAAGTACTTTGATAAACAGTATGAAGATAAATGCTTTAGTAAGTGAGTATGAGAATCTAGAGGATCTGATTCTAAAGTGCTTTGATAAGCAGTATGGTAAGCAGTATGATGACAAGGAGCTAGTATAGAGAGCCTTGGCATCACAGAGAGCAACTCTAATGACTGAGAAACAATGCTGTAAATGAGGCAAGCCCCTAGACCTATTCAATAAAGATCTTTTTAGTCAAGCTCAGTTCTTCTCTTCAATCAAAGTTCTCCAGGCTCATGAACATCTTAATGAAATAGAGGTTGAGAAAGCTCAAAAAATTGCTCAAATGCAAGAAGCAAAGCTTCAATAGGAGCTTCAGAAGAATTAGACTACTAGAAATGCTAAGCAAAGATAAATTGAATAAAAAAAGGCCTGTAGAAAGGCCTATGAGCAGCAAGAGCTTGAAAAACTTGAATGCACTATACAAAAAAAGGAACAATGTATTGCTCATGATGAAAAAAAGACTCTACAATTGGCAGAGAAGGAAAAATGGACTGTTGAATGTGCTACTAAATGACAGCAGTCAGAGCTTCAAGTGTAGACTTCAAAGCACCAATAGAAGAACTCTCCTACTAAAGAACTTCATCACACAAAGACTATACAATCTTTCAAAACTGGAAATAAGAGGGCTACAAGCCTTGCTAACAAGGCTATACACCCCTCAGCTGAGGAACCTGCTGCTCACATTACTTTGAATTCTCTCCTATCTATCCTCTAAATCTCTCTCTGGCCACAATATTAGACCATTTACCTGTTTATTTTCTTAACCACACTAATTTCTATGCTTCAAAGAACTCAGTTATTTAATAGTTAATAGTTAATTTAATAATTAAGATCTGGTTGTTGAGATATTTAATAAATTTGTTGCATCAAGCAGTCATAGAAATCTGGCTCGTTTAGTGGTGAGCTACGTTACGTGTTGTACACCCTATTCCGCTCTCAAATTACATGACTGCTCAAGTTATTCAACTAGAGCCCAAAGGAATAGCTAATGGAAAGGAATATGTATACACAAAGCTAGTTGTGAATATCCCAGAAGCAATTTAATATATTCTACATAAAATGAAACACCATTCCATCATCACTTCTAGTCAAACAAGTCTTCGCTCCCGTTAGAATATTTAACATACAGCATCTGAAAATTAGAAGAAATAACCCCATATAAGAACATTTGGAATAGTAAATCTTATCACAACCACTTTACATACGGCACAAACGCGCCACACCTGCCTACACTCTCCTCCCCAAATCGCTCCACATACCACTTCCGCCCCCAGCTTGCACGCGCCGCTGTGGTTAACACAGAATTTACAAAAAGAGCGATTGCAGGAAGTGGGAAAGACAGACCCCACTTGTTTAGCAGGATGGTAGCTAGGGGAGCATAATACGGGGCGAGAGCTAGGCTGGGAGTGATGGCAGAAGTTGGAGCTGGGGAGGGCGTTATGGAGAATCCGATCAGGAGGAATCCAAACCATTCAATCCATTCCAAGGCGTAGTGTGGGAATAGTATTGTGCGGAACCAGCCGTTTGGAGGGGGGAGGATGTAGACTTTGTCGTATTTGTTTTTGGGGTTGTTAGATGATGAGAAAAAAGTTGATGGTGTGGTGGGGATTTTATCTTTAGAATTATCATCCCGTTTGTCGACTTCTTCCCTTCGTAGGCGGAAGAGGACTCCCTCTGCTCTTATGTTGCCGTACATGCCTATGAAAAATAGGCAGAGTCCGATGTAGGGTAAATATTCCACTGGGAAATATGACGTGGAGAACTTTGATGGATGATGAGATTGCGGCGCCGTGGAACCAAGCATGGGTGTTCCATAACCTAACAACCAGCCTGCTAGACAGCTTGAGTTGAGATAGTTGAATCCCAATGCTGAAAGGATTATGATCAGGTGGATTGGCGACATGCTTGGGGCGAGGAAGAGGGGTGTTATGACCGCCCGGTTTAGATAGTGGAGGACATAGAGACATGCGACTACTTTATGCCAGATGGGTAACTGGCCGTCTGGGAAACTGGAGGGGGTGGCGTAGAGGGTGTATAGGAGGTTGATGGCACCGACGCTTTCCATGCAGAGCCAGGCATAGCGGCCGGGAAAGTTAAGGCTGGAGGAAGGGAGGGAAGTTTTCCCTTGTGGGTGGAAGGGAACAGTCCATTGTATGAGGGTTACCTATGGAAAACGGTTAGCTTTCCCCCTCCCCCCTTTTTGGCCTTTTTTTTTCCCCATTCCTGATACGTGAGATTTGCCTGGGATGATTAATCTGTTGGACTGGAATTGGGGCTACTAACAAGAGGGAAGTACTGAAATATACTGAGCAGAATTACATAGACTGTTGGAGATACGGGCGGGAGGAACTGCTGAGCCGGTGGGAGGGAGCTAACCCATTCTACTAGGGAGTGCATGTCTTGGAATGCAGCATCTGAGAACAATTGCCTGGGATTAAATCTGTTGTTCGTGTTGGTGTTGGAATTGCTCATGGATATCACCAAACACTGGCACAGGAGGTTTCAAGTTTGGCTGCCGAATATCAAAGTCAAAACACCAAAGAGACCACATATTTCAATTATTGTAGAATCTTTCAACATGCAGAATTTACCAAAATCATCATTATTTTAATCCCTAGATTTGAATGACTTTATCTCTATATATTTGAATTTAACATGTTTGCTGATTATTGTCATTTTATTTAAAAAATAGTGAGTAATATATATAGTTTCACCTTTATATTATGAATAGAGATAGTTATAATTGATGATATTTTGATATATTCAAAATATATATATTATAAATTAATTTTTTATATGAAAATTTGATATGATATATAATTAAATGCGTTATGAGTTGATTAAATTTTTATATTATTTTAATAATATGCAGTTATATTATCAAAATAATTTATAAAATGCAATTAATTAATTATAATGAATATGCTACTAATTATAACTTTACTATTTTCTTTTAAAATAAAAAGATAAAATTATAAAAAAAAAGAAATAAAGAAAAAAATTAAAAATAAAATCTATAAAGATAAATAAAGAGTTTTATATAAATCAAAATAAAAAAATTAATTTAATTATAGACTATTTTGATTATAAAAAATTATTAATCAGATATTAGCTCATTATATTATAATTTCTTATCTAGAAACTTATTTAACTGATTATTTAATAGATCAGTCATAGCAGTAGTAATTGATAATTTTATACAAATTAAATATAACTATATTTTCAAAAATAGATATTAATTTATATTTTAAGTTATTATAATTTTTTTATTAAATTAAATACTTTCAGTGATGTTTATATATATAATAATATATTATTTAATTAATTTTTAATTTTAATTTATTTATTTTTTGAATAATATTATATAATTATTTATAATAAACTAATATTTGAATATTAATTTTTTATAATTAAAATTCTTTATTTAGATTATTTTTTAGATATATTTAAATTATTTTTTATTTATTTTTTTTTCTTTTAATAAATTTAATTTTTTATTTATAAAAAAATTATTAAAGTCATATTTAATAATATATTTAATTTATTATAAATTTATATATTTAATTTAAAAGTATTAAAAAGTTTTTATTTTTTATAAAAAATTATAATCTCAAAATTCTCTTTCTAAAAATATAAATTATAATTTAAACTTCTTAATCTTATATATTGTAACAGTGTAAAACAGACTCTGTTCAGATTACTTGACAATGTAAGATCACTGAGTTGAAAAGAGTAATTGCAACTGCTTAGTAAGAGCATAGCAACCACCTCACAATTACTTTATAAATAAATACTGTGTAAACACAGGAACT